AAAAAGCTTTTCATAAAGTCTTTAAAAATCTGTTCGAGAGGAGAAAGTATATGTGCTATTCATTTAGCTCTTCAAGGCTTATTTTGATTACATGAACTTGTTTCCTGCCCTCTCAGACCATAACAATCAAATAATTGGGGTTTTTATTTACTTTCCCTTTGGAGAAATTCAATTAAGAGCTCTTAATTGATAGGCGTAAAATGAAACCTCTTTTTGTTTTCTGATGGTGTGTGTGTGTGTGTGTGTGTGTGTGTGTGTGTAGAATATGTGTGTGAGTGCACAGGTGTTCGCTCACATACATGCTTTAATTTTCTCTGGTAGCTCCTGCATCAACCGTGCAAAAGAGAAAAGCAATATTGGTGATGTGTGGGCCTGCACTGTTGTGCACTGTGGCAAATTGGAATTGGCTCCTGGATACACAGCATTGTAGAAAGAGTTCACTTTCCAGCCCCACCAGGGTATTCCTATAGTAAAATGTCCTCATGTTTTTCCCACTGGTCTTCTACGTTCTTTCCAATAGCATCCTACATGACTGGCCTACACACAGAGACCCTGGGCCATTGGGTATTGGTAGTCCCATTTATTTAGAGGTGGTTATCTGGGAGAGGAAGAAGTTGGGATGTGGGGAGATGGACTGTGTTAGTCAGGGTAGACTAGAGAAACAAAATTCATAGACACTCATATGTGCTTAAGAAAGAGCTTTACATAAAGAGTAATCGTATATTAAGAAAACACCCCAGCCCAGTCCAGATCAAGTCCATAAGTCTGATATGAGCCTATATGTCCGATAATAGTCTATGAATTCCTCTTCATACTCATGCAACACATGCAATGACACTGAATGCAAGAAGATCACAGGCCAGTGGGTGGAAAGTCTTGTGGATCCAGTGGCAGTGGAAGCATCTCAGTGCTGGTGTGGGTCTCCACATGGCTCCTCCAACTCCAGGGCTCTAGCTTCATCTGCATAGCTCCATGTGGTTTCTCAACAGGAATGTCTTGAAGGGAGACAAGCAGAGAGAGAGTGTGTGTCTAGCCTCCAGTGAGCTATTTATCTCCATGCCTCCAAATGAGGTCATCAAGCTGTGACCTGATTGACAGGCTAGACCAGTGGTTCTCAACCTTCCTAATGCTTCCTGATACAGTTAATCAACCTTCCTAATACAGTTCAACATTGTTGTGGTGACCCTCTCAATCATAAAATTATTTTAGTTGCTACTTCATAACTGTAATTTTGCTACTGTTATGAATCGTCATGTAAATATCTAATATGAAGGATTTATTTTCGTTATTACAAATGGAACATAATTAAAGCATAGTGATTGATCACAAAAACAATATGTAATTACATATTGTGAAATATTTATTTCTAATTACAATAAATGAAATTTTGTCTTGAAGCATGGTGTAGCATGGGTAACAGTCTTCATGCCGAGTACTCGTATGTGGGCGTACCTGCATGTGGATGGACCCGCCTGGAGACGGATAGAGAAGCGGTGTCTTGGTTCCTAAGACCACTGGAAATATGTGTTTTCCAATGGTCTTAGACAACCCCTGTGAAAGGGTCATTCGACCTACACAGGGGTCATGACCCACAGGTTAAGAACCGCTGTGCCAGACTCTACTCCTTCCTCAAGTTGACAGTAGATTATGTAACTGCCACATGGACCAAAGGGGTAAATGAAATAAGAGCTTCATTCTGGGGGGCTAAGTTTCCATTGATTCTATGAGGTCCAAACGTAGTGATAGCCACTAGAAACCCCGGGCGGTAAGAATGACTTCCAGGAGCGACCTCATGGTGGTTAATAGACCAAGGGAATCAGCAGCATCTAGACCATTTGAAATCACAGAGGAAGGGGGACAATATGGCGAAGACAAGGGGACTCAAGGTTCTTCCTAAAATTTTTGAAGATTTAAAAATCCCATGAAGGGAAATGAGCCAGTATAGAAGATGGAAAGAAAACCATCAATACCTAGGTGGGCCACAGAGGGAATTTGCTAAAATAGAAACCAAGGACAGAGACTTTCAGTGAGCTAGTGGACCACTCTGCCAAACACACAGGAGAGAACGAGCATAACGTGGGGAAATGACCACTGGATTTCCCAAGTACAGGGCAAAGTTTGCATTGTATGTGATTGTACCTCTAGACAGGACTGTGGTATACTACTACTCTTTCCTCTTACCTTTTGTAACAAATCTGGGGGTTAAAAAGGTTAAGTGGAAGGTATGTCCTTTAGTATAAAATGCAGCAAGGAAATAGTCACTACCACATACAGAGAGCTGTACCATTTTATGTCAAGTAATTGAATCACTAAGCCATGTGGCTAAGAATGGTTTTCAATCAGAGATCCCTAACTGGTTGAGCCAATGTCTGCAAGGATGAAAGGCAGGCTTTATGTTCAAATAGCCATAATTTCTAGTGCAGAAGTGGTTCAAGTCATACCTAGTACCATCATGAAATAGAAATTGATGCATTACTTTAAAATTATTTGATTTACAGCCAAAAAAAGCCAATTGTAACAGGTAGAAATGTCTTCCTGTAACTTAAAACAATATTTATACATATATTTTTTCTCTAATCCAGGTATGGAGACATGGTACCCAAAACCATAGCAGGGAAGATCTTTGGCTCCATCTGCTCCTTGAGTGGGGTCTTGGTCATTGCGCTTCCGGTTCCAGTGATTGTCTCAAACTTCAGCCGCATCTACCACCAGAACCAGCGCGCCGACAAACGGAGGGCGCAGAAGGTGTGTGCTCAGTTCTTTGCTTTTCATGAGGAGCCTCACAGCTGCTCACTTA